AGCTGCATGCAATCTTGTTCAAGTATGAGAACACATTTCCTGAGTATTAATCCATTCAGCAGAGCAAGAAACACACATCTACCTTATCATGCTCTCCCTTCCCGGGATTAATCTTGCAGATTGTCGTAGTACTTCAAAAGAAATGCTGTCTCTTCTTAAATTACCACTGCCTTTACACACCAAACAATTTGAAGTAGCTAAAACCAGAAATATTTCTTAACATTACAATATATACCCCAAAGTTCCTTCTCAAGAGAGGCCTCTGTTTTATCATATGTTTCCCTCCCATACAAATTCAATAATGTTTTCAAAAGGATGTACAAATTTGGGGTCCCTTGATTTTTTGACATATGAGCAAAACTAAGTTAGTCAGAATTTTTTGAGTATTGAGGTTCTAAACTAATTTCCATTAACTACAGTAGATAACTTTTAAAGAAGGAGGAAAATCAAAACAAAATAACCCAGAAGAAAATTCTTTATACGAGCTGAAAATAAAATATGAATTTATCATGCATTAAAAAATTAATATGCTCTTTTCCAGCAAATGTGAAATCATGATATTACATAGATATCAGTATGATGATTTATGTTTTCCTCAAAACCAGTTATTTTTATAAATGAATGTATATGTTTACATATATAAAATAGATCAGTGTTTGTCATCCAGAATCAAATTACATAACCATAGAAACAGCTTCTCCAAATTAAGATACTTACCAATCTAGTTTCAACATACATCATCAAGATATATATTATTTACTTGTTTCTAATCATAAATACATACTGTTGTAATTACCTAAACTTATTTGCAAGTGTTCAGTGCAAGTATAAATATGGATCAATACAAGATAATACCAAAAGGTTGCAATGCTCTTTCAAAATAATTACATTTTCTGCTTTAATGAAGAGCAAAGAAAATAGTCAATTAGGATATGCTAATCAATACCAGCATTTTTAAATTGTGCACAAAAAATCCTGAAATGTGTAGTATCAGTTTATCTACTTATATAAGTAGATGAGACTATTGGCATACATATTTCAGATTACAGCAGAGAAGGAAGATTGATTGTTGGCTTGATGGGCCCACTTCCTCTTCAAGGTTTTTGAAGTCTAAGTCTGCTAATTTACAGAGTTCTGTACACAAATCTTTCATTCAGCTACCACAGGTACACAAATAAAACCCTACAGCATATATATCCTATAGGTTTGGAAAACAAACAAACAAAGTCTTCCACTTAAGACTAGTTGAAATTCACGCTAAATTCAAATGGTTTACCTCCCATCTGTTTTCTTTGGTAACATATAGATAATGAAAAGATACTCATATTTGACACCTTGCTTCACTGATTCATCTCCAATACCTAATTTTGCCAAAACTTATAGATATTGCTGATTATTTTCTTAGATACTCCTGAAGAGAAAATAATGCATAACACAAATATATACAGTGTACAGGCATATTATGTCCAGTAGTGAAGGTTTATGGCTACAAACTAACATTTAAGCCCAAACATTGCTTTCTGAGACCAGGTAAAACTTCCACTGATGACAGTCAAAATTATATACAAAGAAAAGTTAGATCACATGCCTCTTGCTACTTAACAATAAATACGTACATACATGCTTAAAATATAAGCATGCAGAATACTGTACATTGTTCAGTGCATACCCATATAAAACACTAAAAACACATTACTTTTTTGTACTATAGCAACATGCGTATTTACAACAGCAAACAAGAAATAAATGCTAACAACTTTATGCTCTGGAGAACAATCATAAGGTTTTACAAAATGTTCAGTAGTAATGGAATACAGAAGAATTTCAAAAATACAGGAGATAAAAACCAAATCAGTGGAAGACTGAATTTGCTCCAAAGTACATTAAACATTGCAACCAACTTGTGCTAGATGAACTATTTTCAGTGTATATGCTAGAGTTCTCACTTTTTAGAATTACAATAGTAAGAGAGACTTTGCTTAATTTTTTACAGTAGATTAGAACAGGACAATGATGTTCAATGCAGCACCTAAAAATGGTATTTTAATGTTTAATCATGGAGAGAGTTTATTTTTTAACTAATAATTTAAAATAATCTCACCATGCAAAAAGTTTTCCAGAAATTGCTTTCAACATTTTAAACTCTGATCCCATGAAAAGTAAAAACATATCATTGATACACAAGAAAGGTGCACACAGCATAATGTGTCACACAGTAACAGTAAGCAACATAGATGGGAGGGAAATATTTCAGTTTGCAAGAAAGCACTATAATTTCTACAAGTAAAAGAGGGAAAAATATCCTCCATTCTGACCCAGAATTTTTTCTTTATATTTGCTACATGTGTGCATTTGTATGTATGTCTAATTTTTAAACAAGATCAAAAAATATGGCATAGACATGCTCATTTGTTCCTTAAAGCCTTTTGATTTAATACCTTTTACTTTGCACTTACAACAAGTTCAAAAAGCACATGTGGTCAGTTAACTGAGCTCAGCTTAAGCTGTGTTTTCACCTTATGATCAAAAGGATATACCTTTTGTCCCATGTTCAAAAACCTTTAACCCATTTAGGCTTCTAAATCCAACAACACTTTTCAATGTGGGACTGAGAAGTTGGCACTTTTAAAAAAAGTTTGCCTTACATTTACATAAAATAAAGCACTACTCTTACTTTAAGTTTTGATGACTAAAGATACATAATGGGACAGTAAAGGTCAAGTCAATTAAAAAAAATGGATGGCAAACAACTTCAGACATTTCTCAGTTTCCTCATTTTAATTATTATTGTCCTATTTTTAAAATGGTTTTGTCCATTCTAACCATATGATTTACCCAAACAAATAACACAAGCTTAAGAACTGAACAAATTACTAGGCTGGAGAAGCAGTGAGAGTGACTGAAAGTACTGTCAGATACCTAAAAGAAATACACTAATTAAAACAAATTTTTAGAAACTTTGAGTTTTGGTTTGTTTGGGGTTTTTTAATAAATTAAAACTTGACTCTCTATCCAAGCCCGTGACTTCAACAGTGGTTTACTGCTATACTGCATTTTACAATATTAACTGTTAAACAGCTGCATGTGCACACTTTCAATCAAATGTGACTGCAGCTGACAAAGTACAACACGAAAAATGTGTACACAAGAACAATTTCTATACTGATTTCTACTCAAATACAGATATGCTATCAAGTATGAAGCAAAATATTTACCTCAGTTTCATGTACATCATGCTTACACGTTCAGAAGCACAGTTTATACAGATACTGATATATGAAGAAAACATTCATACAGGCAATCAGTGTGTTTTCTTCTAAGTGATGGCTTCTTGTCTATTTGCTCTGAAAACACTTTATTTCATTTGTTCTAAATGAAATGCCATAAATAGGCCCTAATCTACCATTACCATACACTTACCATTACCAGTGGGTGGATCTTATAAAACAATACCAGATCTGCACTACTGACTGTGGAATCAAATCTCTGAATTCCTTCTCTGTGTGGTATATGTTGGTACCATTCAGTATGTTTCATGCATTTTTAAAAACTTGGGAGAAACCTCTAGCATTACTGCAAGACCAAGAAATGCAGCAACAATTTTGACCCGAGTAACAAGTCTAACATCAACTGCCTCTCCTGTAGCAAATGCATATAGTTAAGTAATTATATTTGAACATCCATAAAATTTTAAAAATGCAAGCTATCTGTCCTCTATTTTATCTTGGTTTTGGATCTTGAAATAGCCACAGCACACACTTCCATCAACCCAAAATTAGGCCGAAATGAGACAGAATGTTATTACTGGTAGCATTGTATCTGTCTCCACCCCTCCTTTTTCCACATCAGTTAAGGATGCCAATACCTTTCTCCATATACAGAAGACAAACTGTATTATTTAAAGTAGAAAATAACACGTTCATAAGCAAGCATTAAAATAAATTAGTTCCTTTTAAATCACCTTAGTGTAAAGGCAGTTTATTCCCCCAGTATAAATAATTACTTTCATGTACCTGACCCAAGACTAAAGTCTTTGGCATGAACACCCCACATCTACTTGGAACATTCCCATTCACCCAAATACTGGTGCAGACATATTGCAAGGCCTGCTAGTCTACGACAGAAGCTGTATTACAAGAACTACACAGTGTAGTAGAGCACCTCAGATACAGACAAATGTGTTTTAATTCAAAAAGCTTATTTTAACACAAGCCAAATTCCTATTAAACAAACATTGCCTTTGCACACTTGTGGCTCCAAAATAACAACCTGTTTTAATTAAAGATAAATGAAACAATAGATTTTACTTCTTGGAACAGTGGGTGAATTCCAAAGGTCTTAAAGATCCTGCTATCCACCAATATACTTTAAGATTACTTTTCACCTTCATGGGTGCATCTTGGTCTTTATGATTTCTTTCTCCTTTTGCTTTAAAAGTCAGTCTACAATCTGTGCATAAGCTCCTTATCCCATTTTGCCTCATTGAATAAAAATCACAATGAAAAAAATGCAACCGGTGACCCAGCAACCTAAGACTCAGAGAACAATGCACCGGAAATCTGCAAAACAACCTCCCTGTAAGTTCTTTCATTAATCTGCTTCCTTACCATCACTCTCCTATACACATCACCGCCGATATTCCCCCAACACCCCCTCCACTGACCAGCCATCCTTTCCCTCTCCATTTTGGAAGGACGGGTTCCCCACCATATCAAACCCACCCACAGTAACCACGGTTATTTACCCAGCTATAAGCGCCTCGGCGAAGCCTGCACACGAGCGCGCACACACAACGCGGTGGCGGAGGAACGACGAGCAGGTCACTGCCACCATCGCCACGGCCGCCCCGCGGTGAAGGTGGCAGGCGCCTGAGGAAAACCGAACCGACCACGCCATGTAATGCACTGGGGGGCCAGCCGGACAGAGCCCGGAGCGGCAATGTTTGGGCTGCACCCCCAGCGGTGCTTAAGGCGTGTATGCTGACGGTGGCCCACACTCACCCAGCAGCAGCAGCTTCAGTTCCCGACGAGCGTCCCGCTTGTCCCGGCGCAGCTGCCGCTCGATCTCGTCGTTGATCCGCCGGGCTTCTTTGGCTTCCTCGCTCAGGCAGCACGCCATCATGGACTCCAAAGTCATTCTTCCTAACTGGTTCAGACACAACCCCCACCCTAAAAACGCGCGCGCACACACACCCCACCAGAGCACCAGTCCCGGGGGACACAGACGCTCTCTACCCGGAAGTCCCCACACGGGCACTGTAGGGCAAGTGCAGCGAGCTGCCTCGATGCCGCACACAGATAAAGAAAAAGCAGGCCCCCAGCAGCACAAATCCCCCCGTTCCCTGCCTCAAATAGTCGCCGCTTCCAACTCCTCCTCTAAATTATGCACCAAGCAACACGAAAACATCCCCCACTACAGCCGTGGCGGCAGCAGTGCTTTCTTCGCCAGCACAAACACCCCTCTCCCTCCTTCCCTCACTACTACTTCTGCCTCTGCTACCGCTAACCACCACCCGAGTGTCCCTCACAAACTACACCCCCGCCGCCCTCCGAAATAACCACCCCCACGGAAATGTTAATGTCCGTTAATCCCTCCCCTCCTCCTCAATTACGCTTCCCAGTCGCTCCTTCTGTCCTAAAGCGAGAGTTCGGCTGCTCCGAAAGTGGGCAAGGTCGCTGCCCAGCAATCTCAGTGCGCGCCTGGCGGGAGAACTTCCTTACGGCGAACCTTTTTTCCAGGCACGGTCGCTCACCCCTCGCGCGAGGAAAACTGCTGCTGAAGAGCTGTCACGGCTCGTTCCTGCCCTGGCAGTAAGGAAGAGAGGGAGGACGAGTAGAAAGGGCTCCACCAGAGAGGAAGAGAAGGCAGGTGGGGACTAGGGTATGCACACTGAGCCCAGCTCGACGGGCTTTTCAATGGCTTGTCTCTGCGGGCGTGGTGAGGTAGAAATATGGCGGACTGCCTCTGTCGCTGCCTGTCCACTTTTTCCCTGCGCCGCTGCGCGATGGGAATGAGCGGCTGGAGGAGCCAGGAATTCCCGGGGTGCAGCTCCCGACCATGCGTGTTTTATTTGCTTTTGCTACCTTTAGTTTTAGTCGATAAATGCGCATTTTTATTTTACCCCTGCATTCTCTTCCTAGAAGCGATGCCTTTGGTTCATAGGTAAAGGGGAGAAATATAATAATTTACACGAGGGGAGAAGTATCTTCTCCACCTTCAGATGACAATTAAAATGTAGGGGATAAAAATATACTATACACTAGTAACTGTTTTTTATTCCGGTAATCCTGAAAATACTTGAATATTTCTGTTATATGCAGAAGAAATAAAAGATGTTTACAACAGACAAAAACAGTAGTATACTTCCCTTGCTTGTAAGAACCTAATATCATTTCAAGGCATCGATATATTGCATTTTCTATCCTGTTGTTGTAACCTTTATTCAACCAATGCTTTTTGCTACCATCCTTTTTCACAAACCCAGACCAGCTTGCCTTCAATTCCAGTACTAGAAAGCCTGTCTTTAACATAGCTTTTAGTAGCTCCCAGAGTGATAGCACACAATTCAATGGACATATTAAGTTCTAGTTTTTGTGGATTTGTAAAATATTTCAAAATTCCCACAGCTGCCCTACCTTTTCCAACCTCCATATTAAATAAATAGCTGAGAATGTTGAAAAATCTCACAGGAAAGTCATAATAGTCTATTAGGTAGTTAGAGGGGTGCATCACTCTCCATCTTTTAGTTTCACATGCAATATCCTCTCCAGCACCTGTTTTGATCACGTGTTCGCTCTTACAACTGTGCATATATGTTGTCAATATGAATTAAGTAGAGCCCACCATAAGGCATAAGACTACGAGGAAATTAAAAAATGAAAATGAAATAGTCAATAGAATAATCTAGTTCTCAGTTTTTAGAGCATGAAAATGTTTTTTGTTACTTACAAAATGTGTGATTTTTGTTTAGATCTATATCAGTTTTCTATGTATAATGTATAAAAGCATTTAAGAAAATTTTAAATATTTTTAAAGTATGTTAACTTCAGTAAATTAATATGTGAATTTTATTCTAAACTCTATAATACTACTATTAATGAATAATGATATTTCAGTAAAAGCATCTTCTTAATTTACCTGATGTGGATTTTAACATTCATATGTATGTAGGTATATGTATGTATCTATCTTGTGGTCCCAGATTAATGTATTAATATAAAATTTGGTGCTAAGAATGTCAGGAAAATTCACAAACACCAGAGATTTATGTCCAAAAAGGAGACAGAGCAGTCCTGTAACTTTATTTGAATAAAGGGAGAAGTCATGGAGCATTCCCCATGGGGTCTCTCAAAATTTTTAGAGGATGCAGCCTCTTTTTTATCCTAATTTCCCGGCTGCATTTCCCTCTCTCTTTCCCAGTTGGCTGAGGTACTTGAGACATACAGACTTCCTAAAATGCCTAATACCCCCTTCTAATGTATACCCCCCTGTTTTTCTTTTTCCTTGTGTCTCTGTTCTTTTTCTCTAAATCCAGAGATATAGCATAGTCTTGAGTAAGTCTGTGAATTAGTGGAATTCCTATGGAATTTATGGTTCCCCCCATTGTTTCTTTCACCTCTCCCTATCTGGCCTTATCTACTATCAGGCCCACAGTTTGTTTGTAAAGACACCTCCTTCTCATTCCTTTCAATTCCTCTTTTGGGAAGAGATCTATTAAGTAAATAGGAGGCTCAAATTATATTTACGGACAGAAAAGTACAATTATTGGTACCTGAGATTGTCTTGGGGTGATTTTACAATGATACTCTATTCCTGATTGTCTGCTTTATGCCCAGAAATGGTTGCTGTAACTTTAAGGTGGGTTTGGGGGAGGGGCAGGAGCCCTGGGGGGTTCTTGCAGCAGCTTTGTTTGAAGCCTCACTCCCAGGCATGCTCCCTGTTCTATGGACAGGCAGTAACTTTGTTGCTTAGCTAGCTTGGGTTTTTGTTAGCTTAGGCAAGAAGTTTCTTTTTCCCCTTTCCCTGGTCTTGAAGAGACTGCAGCAGCAATCCTTCAGCAGCTTTTGGTTTTTCTTGAACTGTTCGGCTTGCTTTTGGTCCGAGATCAGACAATCGATAGGGAGACGGTCAGCCAGGATCTGTGGGAGCCACTCCGCCCAGCCCCAGACCTTGGGAAAAGCTGAATCAACAAGAGAAAGGACACCAAAATCCATCACCTTCATCTGCTCTGAGGAGACCAATGGCAGAGGTTCAACATGTTCCCATCTGTTTTGCCCGAGCTGCTGCATGAACTTTTTTTCCCTTCCCTGAGACAAAAAGCCAGCGCCATTTTGTTCCCCTTTGCCATGTGGCCAGCCGGTTTGTTTCTTCCCCTGACATTTTGTGCCTAACTTTAAGGGGCAGGAGAAAGTAAAAAAAAAAAAAAAAAAAATTACATTTTGGTTTGAAACACTTTGTATTGGGGTACAGCAATCAGTTGTCACCATGCTGCTTGATTTAATAATGGCTCTCTGGCACCTAGGCATTGGGAAAAACATGTTCACTTTCCTGTGAAAATTTAAAATGTTTTACAAAGGACAATAGGACACAAAGACCATAGAACAAAAGATGTTATGGTCGGTGCATCTTGGTACTCAGCCAAGAGCACACCTATTTTGGAAACACCCTTCACACCATTTCTATTGCATCTTCCTGTTACATATTCATAAACAATTATGCATAGTAAACTTTTCCCCCAAACTAGTTTACATGTTCCAAGAACTGTTTAGCATGGCTCCTCCTCACATCCGCCTTTTTATAGCATGCACATTTCTTGGCTGTGGTTTTAGTCCTTTTTTTTATCATCACCTTCAGTTTTGGCCCCAGCCCACATTGTCTTCAGACGGTGAGTGCTGATAGTTGGCATATCTGTAGTAGGTGTCTTCATCCTATGTTCACTGGATGTTATCCTATCTAAGCAGGCATTTTAACACCACCATACTTATATCAGCTATTTCACTACTATGTCTAAGCTTAATTAACAACAGAAATAAAAACTATATCTTTATAACAAAGTTACTTTATGTTATAGATACATATTATAATATTGGCTTTTCACAAATATTAAAATGGATTTTATATGTGTGATGTTAAAGTAACTGTTATAAAGTTTTTCTTTCTGTTGTTAATTAAGCTTAGACATAGTAGTGAAATAGCTATGCTGGTGTTAAAATGCCTGCTTGGATGGGATAACATCCAATGAACCTAGGATGAGGACACCTACTACAGATATGCCAACTATCAGCACTCACTGTCTGAAGACAATGTGGGCTGGGGCCAAAACAGGAAGTGATAAGGACAAGGACCCAAAACCACAGCAAAAAAACATGCATGCTCTAAAAAGGCGGACCCAAGGAGGGGCCGTGTAAAATAGTTCCTGGAATATGTAAACTAGTTTATGGATATGCATATAAGTCTATGAATATGCAACAGGCTGATGTAATGGAAAAAGTATTTAAGGGTTATCCCCAAAGGTGTGTGCTCTTGGCTGAGTGCCAAGATGCACCTGGCCATAATAACCTTTGCTCTATGGTTATTGTCTCCTATTGTCCTTTATTAAACTTTTTAAATTTTCACAGGAGAGTGAACATGTTTTTCACACTTTAGCACCACACATATAAAATCCATGTTAATATTTGCAAAAAGCCAATATTATAATATGTATCTATAACAGCATGTTTGCCTATCCATATATAGGGGCAATTTTGTCCCTAGCATGTCTTTTACATATCAGGGACATTAGTCAGGATTGCCATATTGATGTGTCCGGTGCTAGCAATTTATGAACATTTAACAGAGGTACTGGGAGCTATTCAGGATGTGTATGCTCTTTTGGTTTTCCATCCTGGTCTCAGTAGCCTTATTTGGGGGTTTATTAGTAATTACACCCAGTCTGTTAGGGGAAAAGTAGGGGATGATGTTTCCCAGCCCTTCATCTCCCTCCTTCCCTTCAGATCCGGCACATCACCTTTTGAGAATATTCACTTTCCCCCAGATGTTAAAGATACCACCTTTATGTTGTTTTATCTGGTAGGTTTCCTCTATATGGTCTGCAGCTTGTCTAGCTCAGATTTCCAGAGGATCTGTCCAGGTACCTGCCCCAGTCATGGAAAATTCTGAGTGGTGTGGGAAGATGTAGGCCAAACCCTGTGTAGGAGTGTGCCCACTGTTGACAGAGTGACAAAACTATCCTTTGTCCCCCAAAAAAGGAAAGAAGCCCAAAAGTTTCTCTCATCAATTAGGGTAAAAAGCCACCTCATAGGACCCAAGAGGCTTCACCTCAAACTTAAGGGCAGCTAATTGGATAGAAGCCAAAAAGTCCAGCCTGACCAATTGGGTAGAAAAAGAAGAGAACAAAGGAACTGAGGGCTTTTGTGAGGTGTTTTTACCAGGAGCAGACCTCTGCACCTGGCTCGGGTTTTCCTGTTTGTTATTTTGCCTTTTATTAAACCTTTTTGTTTCCAACACTGCAGCAGAAGCCATCCTGCTTATTTTATGCCCTCAAGGGTAGCTGAGCTATCTTGGGTGTATTATATTTTCCTTCAGGAGCTTATAAGACCTGGCTTAAGAAAGAAAATATAATAACCCTGAAGGAATTCTCTGCCCTGATAGCTTGGAACTTCCCCCCTGAACAAATTCAGAATCCAGTTGAGGTGGGGAAATGTCAATGTGTTCATGGGTCCCAGGACAAGGGAAGAGATGAATCTGACTCCATATTTCTTAGAAGGCTGATATATTTATTATATTATATTATATTATATTATATTATATTATATTATATTATATTATATTATATTATATGCTATACTAAAGCTATACTAAAAGTATAGAAGAAAGGATTTAATCAGAAGGCTAGGAAAGGAATGAATAATAAAAACCCGTGAAAAAAATCAGAGCCTCGACACAGCTGGACCATGATTGATCATCAAGTAAAAACAATTCACATGAGACCAAAGATGCTCCTGTTGGTAAACAACCTCCAGACCACATTCCACAGCCATCAGATAGTTATTGTTTACATTTCTTTTCTGAGGCTTCTCAGGAGAAAAATCATAGTGAAAGGATTTTTCAGAAAATATGACAGTGACAGGGAAATATCTGAGAGAAAATTGCAACGACAACTCTAACAAGAAGCAGCTCATTGCAATAAGCTGGCCCTGGCTAATGGTTACCACACACTGCTAGATACCGTAGGGCAGCAGATGCAGCCAGAGGGGCAGGAGGATGAATCAGCAGACACCCCAGTCACTCAGGCTGCAGCTAAACTAGACTGGGAGCCTAAGCCAATAGTAATTGCCCCTGTCCAGAGAAGGAAACAAAAAACCAAATTCATTCACGCAGTGGATGATGATGGGGAACCAGGATCCTCACAGCCTGCAGAGGAATCCAAACCAGAAATCATTATTAAGTTTCTGTCCATAGAAAGCCTTCTCAGCCTGTGTTGGTTTTGCGTGGCATGG